ATCATATCAAAGACAGAGTACATCGAGATGAAATACTACATTTAGTAAGAATAAAAATATCTGCCCTGAAGATAAGGATAGTGCTGAAAGATCAACTTCCAATTCATTGCGTGCTGCGGCGTTAATGATCAAACTAGTTTTTGCAACTGCATTCTGTCAATAAAATGGTTTTTTCTTGTAAAATATTCATTAAACTTACTATCATCTTCCAGCAACAGAAAAATAAGCTTATACTTTACATTTGAGGCATTATTAGCAGCCACTGGTGAATTGTACTTGCCACAAAAATGTGTAAAAAATTTATTTTGGGTTTGCTTATATTTATATATATATATATATACATAATATAGTGTCAACAGGATTGTATTCAGTAAAATAATAAATAGAATTTTCTGGTATATTTAATAATAAATAAATTTTATGGCATGTTTATATACATTATTTTAAATAAATTCTTTACATAACTTTATCAAATATCATGATTAATGTATATATTAAATAATTAAATTATGTTATTTTAATTAAACTATTGAAAAAATTATGTCAAGTACTATAATACCTGCGACACTAACTGTGCATGCAGTTCCACCCCAATTTTGACCTCGTGCTGCAAAACAAGCCTTCTTATCACCAATCTCTCAAGAGAACTTTCAGCTTGCCCTATATCTGGAGTGCTGCTGTGCTGCTTGGACACTATATTTTTACAAACATCCATAAATTTTCTGAGATTCAAATCCAAGTTCCTCGGTACAACAGTCGGTATTACTAATCATTATACTGCTGATTATCAGGGCCAGAGGTTCAGTCACATGAATATTAACATGATTTCTCTAGGAATGACTAATTTTTTGTCTGGTGACATTATATGCCTTTGTTTAATGGCATTACTAACTCAAAAAGGCAGAATAAAATATTTAGGTAAAAATATATTCAAGGTGCCCCTTGGTGAAAACTGGCTATTTTTTTGGCACCATTCCTGTTTACATCCAACACCCTCCCCACTAAAATGGCATCCAAAACATAATGCAATAAAACATAATTAAAACAAAAAATATATAATCTCAAAAAATTGCAATATAAATCAAAGGAAATAACATAAGAATGGAAATACATGTTATATAATCTATACAGTACGAAAAGGAAATATTGACTTACCTTATTTAAAAATTTGTTTCTTCAATACGTGTGACACACAGAATTCCTTAAGAGCACACAAAAACTATTCACAATTATCTAAACTAAAATCTGTATACTGATGTCGCCACATTAATTCACAAAAGTAAAAATGAAAAATATCCTCTGTGCATTTCTTTCGAAAATCCTCTTTTTATTATAACCCACATACCTTAAGTATTAATATGAGCTCCAGTTTCGAAATTCTTAAATCTCGCTGCGTAATTTACCAAGAGGTAAACAAAGCCATTTAAATCTTCATTTACATACCAGTCAATCAATGTTTTCTTTCCCAGTCGTTCAAAGTGCACAGAAACTTCAGGTTAATCATACCACCAGCAGGCATTTTACGGTGTAAAGCACAAAATAAGCAATGTACTTTCTAACCAACATCCATACCTAAGTAAGCCCTTACAAATGTTTTCCCATCAGTCAAAATCAATGCAGTCACGCATTACAATGAATCACATCATAACAGGGTTTCCATAACATTCAACTACAGTTGAATACGGTTAATTAGACCACCGGATAATCAGACCAGCCGCTTTTTCAGACCAAATCCTAAAGAACCGAAACAATACTATGTATATAAGGCTAATATTATTCGTTTATTTGGACCAAAATTCCGTTTAATCAGACCAAAAACGTGAGAGTGAATACGAAAGAGAAGCCACAAGTCGGCTGCGTACAGCGGATGTACAGGTGGTCCGCGACATATTCTTCTGTTCATACTGTTCTTAAAATGTTGACTGGAACTTAGTAAGAACTTGCTTTTATTGTGCTTGCATGCTGAGTATCATGAACATCATTTCTTAGAATTTGTTTCTAAATTAATTTTCTCAATGAAAAACGTCCGAGTGTAGTTCTTGTTTGTAAGACGTATGTGTTTGTACATGTATGTTCGCCATATGTGTGGTACCGCACAATAAAGGTTATAATTACATTTTAGTATATGATTTACATGTACATTTACTGTTTGCTACATACAGCATGTCCCGTCTTACAACACAGGACATATTCGTGTAATTGGACCAGCCAGTTATTAGGACCAAAATAATCGCTTCCTAATGTCGTCTGATTAACCGGAATTGACTGTACTCAGGTTCCCAAAAATGAAACAACTTGGCAATAATCCAATGGGTACCCTAAAATATAGAACCAAATTCTGAATTTCAAAAGAATTTTTTTTTATTCATTAGCATATTGTTGCGTGGGTTTGTTATGAACTGAATGCACAAATCCGATGAAAAACGAATAAAATTGATTATTATCCCAATAAAACAAAATGCTTAAATTTCCACAGATATGCGTACAATATTACAATATCTCACAGCAGTTATCTTTTAAACTACTCAAACATTCAACAGAACTGAATTCAAAACATAGATGGCTAATCTGATTTCACCGCAAATTCGCTACAGTAAACAACAGTTGGTTGACCTTTACAATATGGTAACTGGTAGTTTTGCGACATTTTGGAGGCGATAAAGGTTACTACATGGGACTTTGGTAATAATGTGAGCAGTACTCAGTTCCGATTACGCATTATTTTGTGTGAGGCAAATGAGAGATCATGGGATATGTCATGTGATATTAATGGACGAATTACGGTTCTTTAATCGGAACAGGGGGGAAATCGGGAAAAAATCTGGAAATTTTGTGTTGGGCTTTATTCTGTGTTGTGTGAAACAGTGTTGTTCGTGAATTTTTGGATCCCATGGCCGTAACTAAAGTGAATTCGAATGGGTATTTATGTATGTATTAATTTAATGTATGTGCTCATTTATATTTTAAGTAGTGTTTTTGAATTTAATTATATTTTAATTAAATGATAGTTATTTTGTGAATTTTATGTTTGTACGAATTTGGTATACGTTTAAGTTGAAGTAAACGTGCATGGAAATAATTTAAATATTTGATACTAAGTATTTGTAATGGTTGCGGTATGAATTCGTTGATGACGTGTATAATGTAATAGATGATTTAGAGGTAAAAGTTTTTGGATATTTTATTTATTTTATATGTGGAAATGTTCATATTTGGAAAGAGTAAATACGTTTTCGCGATCAGGTAATTTCATATATGTTCTTTTTACCGGGTTTAAAGATTGAGAAAATTGTCATGTATTTTCGTGAAATTTTTCTAATTTATGAGAAAAAAGCAGTGTATATGGATATAGTGAAGAGTGTGCGCAATGCCATTTTTGTGCAATTCTGGGATGTTTTTTTAAGTAAAAATAAGTCGACGTGTACATGGTTTAGTGATATTTTAATTAAATGATAGTTATTTTGTTAATTTTATGTTTGTAGGAATTTGGTACACGTTTAAGTTGAAGTAAACATGCATGGAAATAATTTAAATATTTGATACTTGATACTAAGTATTTGTAATGGTTGCGGTATGAATTCGTTGGTGACGTGTATAATGTAATAGATGATTTAGAGGTAAAAGTTTTTGGATATTTTATTTATTTTATATGTGGAAATGTTCATATTTGGAAAGGGTAAATACTTTTTCGCGATCAGGTAATTTCATATATGTTCTTTTTACCGGGTTTAAAGATTGAGAAAATTGTCATGTATTTTCGTGAAATTTTTCTAATTTATGAGAAAAAAGCAGTGTACATGGCTATAGTGAAGAGTGTGCGCGCAATGCCATTTTTGTGCAATTCTGGGATGTTTTTTTTAAGTAAAAAAATAGTCGGCGTGTACATGGTTTATGTGTATGTGTTATTTTGAAAAACGCGTAAAGGCGTAAGGAGTATGGTATTGTGCACTTTTTCCCAATTTTGCAGTGAATATTTGTCATGATTAAGCAGTTTTGTTAGATAAAATTTCTAGCATAAGTGTAATTCGGCTAGTAGATTGTTGGAAGAAGTGTTCAGTAGATAAAAAGAAAAGAAACATGTCTTTACTTCGTGAAGACAAAATGGCGGTGGAAAAAAAAAAAATAGAGGGTTGCTGTAGGAGAGTTGGTCGCCAAAAAAACGCCAAGTTACCATAATGTAAAGATCAACCCAACAGTTTTCTAAACAAGTTGAATTGAGAGTTTTTGATCCTGTTTTTATAAGCTTTTTAAAAAGCATGAAAACTTCTTGATTTTTATGGATATTAAAAGAGTACATTTAAGAGATATCTATTTACTAAATGTGCTTGCTCCAGTATTTTTTATTTTTCCCGGCATAGCTTTCTCTTCAAATAAGTCATGTGCAGCATTGCACGGGGAAATGAAACAATTTAATACTAATTCTATAAAAAAAAGGCAAACTAAATAAATCAATATAAAAAACATAACAATACTTTTCATTTTTTAGAACAGGAAAGTCTTGCATATGCTATTTTTGAGAATCTATCTCTATTCACAGTCAATATAAACAAAAGAAAAAGGTTTAAAGATGATTTCAGTTTAAATTAAATGTTTGAAAAGGTGTAAATAAATTCTTTATTCACAGACACCCAAAATTAATTTTTAAATTAGAATATGTATTCGAATGTAAAGGCTCATCTAAAATACAAAACTTGCAGCAATTCATCATTCATACTTACTGTAAAAAAGAGAACTGACACACATGAAGAAAATACTAAATTTCAGTAATGAAAAAAGTTCATTTCTTTAAGCAAAATAAGCAAAATATAGATAATACTCTTGCTTTGTAATTTGTTTTCATATACACATAAATAACTGCCAATAAACTACTACAATGGGTGAATTTCCTAAGAATTCAGATTTTGTTTCTTTGAATTAAAAAAACAAGCATGGATTATATGCATTCAAGGATTAAGTGATCACCTATTATTCATATATAATAGTATTTAAGGTATTCATACCTGAAAACAACAGTCCAAAACTGGAGCCTGGTGGTTATATTTGAGCCTCATTGTATTATTTGTAACATCATACAAACGAACTGTTGCATCCCAAGATGATGCAAGTAAGAACTGGTTAGATGTTGGTCCAAATTTTACAGCAGACACAAGATCCCGAGGCAAATTATCCAATTTAAATTCGTTTGGAGTATCAGCTAGCGTCATCTCTGCCTAAAATACAATACAAAAAGAAATATTTTAAATAAAGTAACTAATTTATTAATTATTAAAAGTTATAATTGTAACACTTCTTTCAGAGGTGATTTTAAATTATCCAGATTGAAAATAAAAGTAGAAAAAAATTATTTCTACTATTGATTGAGATTGTGTATCGGAAATTCTAAAGATATGCTCATTTTTAAATTATTTTGTGATACTGCTGTTGAATTGAATTTTATGGTTTACGCGCGAAGAACATGATATTAATAAATAAAGGTAACACATAAAACATTTTTAAAAAGTCCCTTTGGACATAATGTAAAAACTGAATGCTTTCAATGTAAAATCTGAATGCTTTCAGATTTTTTTTTTTTTTTTTTTTTAATTTTATTTATTTTTTAATGCTTCATGAAAGCACATTTGATTTTTACCCCGTAATAAGACCTGTGGAGAGTCCCAATTCTTAATTTCTAATTAATTCTTTGACACTAAATAAATACCTTGTTACTGAAGAAACCTTAATTTATCATAAATTTGTATGATCAATAATTTAGCTCCATAGCTGCATATCTGCTTTGCATATATCTCAAACCGAAATGTTCTACATAGAAACATCATTGCTTTTACACCTACTAATATTTTATATCCCAAACGCCAAATTGGGGAATCATTATTTATTATACTTTGCTTTCATCACAGCATGCTTATCATCACGTGACAACTTGAGTAATGACTCATGCAGCGATGCCCAAACAATTTTTGGTAAAAGTATAGTTCAGGGTACCCCTTGGAGAAACATGGCGATTTTTGGCGGTACATGGATACCGATTTTGTGCAATTCTTTAACTCGTTATTTTGGGTTGCGAATTTATTTTTGGCTTTTAGCGCCAAAAATCACTGCTACACAAAGCCAAAATAACAAGACAAACAATTGCACAAATTCGGTATCCGTGTACACATCGACTTATTTTTACTTTAACCTCCCGAAATGCACAAAAATGGCATTGCACACTCTTTTAACTTTATCCATATACACGTCGACCTATTTTTCACTTTAAAAAAAATCCCAGAATTGCACAAACTTGCATTGCACACTCCCTTTACTTTGTCTATGTACACATCGATATTTTTCACTTAAAAAGTCAAAGAAGCACCAAATTCTACAATATAGGCAAACAAAAAATACATAATCTCAATAAAATACAGGTTAATCTTTGGATTATGGTAACTTATCAATTTTTTGGCGAAAATTTGGCGACCAATCCTGCTACAGCAACCTGCTAGTTTTCTGTTTGGATGCCATTTTGTTTTCACAAAATAAAGGCTCTTTTTTTTTTTTTTTTACTCAACATTTTTTTCCAACAATCTGCTAGCCAAATTACGCTTATGCTAAAACTTTTATGGAATAAAAGTGCTTAATCATGACGAAGATTAGGTGCGAAATTGGGAGAAAGTGCAGAATCACAAACTGCTTGCCATGTTGCCCATACATGATATCAATGTACACGTCGACCTATTTTACTTAAAAAAAATCCCAGAATTGCACAAAAATGGCATTGCGCACACTCTTGACTTTATTCATGTACACTGCTAAAGTCCTAGCTAGTAACCTTTATCGCCTTACCAAAATGTCGCCAAACTACTTGTTTTCATATTCCAAAGATAAGCCAAAATACATTTTAAACCAAACAATAAAATAACATAAAAGAGGAAAAACATGTTATACATTTAAGCACTACCAAAAGCAAAAATTCACTTACCATGATTTTCGAGTTCGCTTCGTACACCCAGAGCCACGTAAAAATCAAAATATCAATCATACTCAAATGACTTTTTTCAAATCAGGTACTCTTTCTGATCGAACGCTCGCTTCACATCTGAGCCTTTCTTCCTACACACCCATTCAAATCCAACTAAACGGTTTTAACACACACCACAAAAACGCTTACAAAACATCCCATGATTCAAAATTTCCCAGAATCATGCACCCTATTACGTCACAATAGGGTTTCCATAACATTCAACTACTCAGGCTACCATAAATGAAACAACAACTTGGTGATAAATCAAACAACAACATCGCCATAATACAAGGGGTACCTTAAAGTCTACTCTACCCCAATTTTTTTTGTGTTAGCAATTTAATAAAGTTTAAATCCGCTAAGAAATGTTGATCAGGAAAAATTTAACAAACATTTCTTTCCATATGCTAAAAATAGGTTTTATTAATGATACTCACAGGCCAAAAGATAACATTTAGTGCTATTTGAATTAAAAATAACTGATTTGTTTTTCACATAAACCCAGAACCGGCACCAGAGCTTGTATGGTCGTACCGGGCAGCAGAATTTAAGGAAGACAAAATTTTGGGAATTTTAAAGAAACACTGAACAACAAAATTGATTGACCTTTGATTTTTTTTTTTTTCCAAATTTAGGAAAAGCACTGGGATCCATAATTTAGGGGTGGCAAAAATTTAGAAGTAAGAAGACGCTTGGTAGCAGAATTTAGGACCTACAGAGACTGCATCAAACTGTAAGATATCTAGTGCTGGATTTCGATAAGCCTTAAGTATATGTAGAAATTTATTTGTTCAGGACTTGCATAAGCCTTAAGCATGTGGAAGAAATAGACGAAAGTATAATAAATAAATAATACAATTCAGACTTAATTGTGTCAGCACATGTTAGAAGCATGACAAAATTTAACGGAACAACTTATCTTCCATCGCCAAAAGTGTGATACATAGCCAATAATGCATAACAGACGCTGTTAATCTAGGCTAAAATTATACTTTACTGATGCCAAGGAATTTCAGTCAATACGGCAGGCTGCGCTATTCCTTTGATTTGATCCTGCTTATTATTTAGTTTAGTTTCTAATTCTGGAGCTGCAATAGGATCTACAAAGTGAAAGCATATTTTGATGTCTATTAAACAAAAAGTGGAATTGCTGTAAAATATGGATAAAGGTATATCCATCTCAAAATTATGCGGGAGTATGGCATTGGAAAGTCAACTGTATGGCATAAGAAGACAGAAAAAGGAACTTTTTTTGTGTGTGTATTCCGACACCGGTGCTACTTTGGTAGACGGTTGCACGGATTTTGGCGATTTTTCTTTTGCCGAGCAATACAACTTATGGTAAACCCATTGCTGGATAAGTTATTTATGGTAACCGATACTTTGTTGTCATTTTATTAGAAAAATAATGCATTTTATTATGCATAACTTCCGTGTTTTAAATATTATTTATGGCTTCTAAATATTAAAAATCAATTTAATTTTACATTTTTATTTGAAATAAAAATTTTGTTGTTTATAATATTGGAACTACTCTGATATGCGCCCTCAAGTCGCCAAATTTCTCGCCAAATATTTTGGTGGAGAAAACTTCCACGCTGCCATATTACTATCTAAATTTTTTGTTTACATTTTTGAACTTTTAAGCCTTAAAAGTGTCTCCAAAAACGCGCTTTTCGCACATGCAAAAACTACGTTTTGAACACACAATTTAAGCTAAAAATCCAAAACAAAACAAAAAATTTAGATAAGCAAAAACATAAAAGTTTCTAACCAAAAATATTTGGCAAGAATCCATGTACACAGCGATACTGTTTTAACTTAAAAAAACATATCTACGAATGGCACAATGTAGGCAACGAACGAATCTACAAACTACGCACACCTCGCTTTAATAAATTAACATAACAATAAATTTCAAAGAATACCATGTACACAGCATCCTGTTTAAACTTTAAAAAAATTCTACAAATTGCACAATTTAGGCAAGGAAGGAATCTACGATCTACGCACTCCTCGCTTTAATAAAATAACATAACAACAATAAATTTCAAATAATACCATGTACACAGCATTCTGTTTCAACTTTAAAAAACATCTACGAATTGTACAGTCTAGACACTAAACAACAAAATAAACTAAAATAAATTTCAAACAATTTAAAAAAACAACAATAATGACAGAAATTCATACTAAAGAACCAATGAACATAACATTCTACAACATAAGAACAAGGATAAAATAAAATGCACTTACCATGAATTAATGCGTTTTCGAATAGCAGAAATATAAATTTTATACCGTCATTAACATGCTGCCACGTAATCACTATCGTATTTACATGACAGCCAGACACACTATCCAGAAAATTTATACTATGGTTCACAAATAAATAAAATCACAAATCCCTACTTCTATCATGCACTGCCATTAAAAATAATCTCCCAGACCCTCTTTCCACACTTCCAAATACCCACTACCCCTCAACAGGATAGCCACAATCATATTTCGGTTGATCTTTACAATATGGTAACTGGTAGTTTGGCGACATTTTGGAGGCGATAAAGGTTACTACCTGGGACTTGTAATAATGTGAGCAGTACTCAGTTCCGATTACGCATTATTTTGTGTGAGAGAAATGAGAGATCATGGGATATGTCATGTGATATTAATGGACGAATTACGGTTCTTTAATCGGAAAAAGGGGGAAATCCGGAAAAAATCTGGAAATTTTGTATTTGGTTTTATTCTGTGTTGTGTGAAACAGTGTTCGTGAATTTTTGGAAACCCACGGCCGTAACTAAAGTGAATTCGAAATGGGTATTTATGTATGTATTAATTTAATGTATGTGCTCATTTATATTTTAAGTAGTGTTTTTGAATTTAATTATATTTTAATTAAATGATAGTTATTTTGTGAATTTTTTGTAGGAATTTGGTATACGTTTTAGTTGAAGTAAACGTGCATGGAAATAATTTAAATATCTGACACTAAGTATTTGTAATGGTTGCGGTATGAATTCGTTGGTGACGTGTATAATGTAATAGATAATTTAGAGGTAAAAGTTTTTGGTATTTTATTTATTTTATATGTGGAAATGTTCATATTTTGGAAAGGGTAAATACTTTTTCGCGATCAGGTAATTTCATATATGTTCTTTTTACCGGGTTTAAAGATTGAGAAAAATTGTCATGTATTTTCGTGAAATTTTTCTAATTTATGAGAAAAAAGCAGTGTACATGGATATAGTGAAGAGTGTGCGCAATGCCATTTTTTTGTGCAATTCTGGGATTTTTTTTAAGTAAAAATAAGTCGACGTGTACATGGTTTAGTGATATTTTAATTAAATGATAGTTATTTTGTGAATTTTATGTTTGTAGGAATTTGATATACGTTTAAGTTGAAGTAAATGTGCATGGAAATAATTTAAATATTTGATACTAAGTATTTGTAATGCTTGCGGTATGAATTCGTTGGTGACGTGTATAATGTAATAGATGATTTAGAGGTAAAAGTTTTTGGATATTTTATTTATTTTATATGTGGAAATGTTCATATTTGGAAAGGGTAAATACTTTTTCGCGATCAGGTAATTTCATATATGTTCTTTTTACCGGGTTTAAAGATTGAGAAAATTGTCATGTATTTTCGTGAAATTTTTTCTAATTTATGAGAAAAAAAGCAGTGTACATGGATATAGTGAAGAGTGTGCACAATGCCATTTTTGTGCAATTCTGGGATGTTTTTTTAAGTAAAAATAAGTCGGCGTGTACATGGTTTATGTGTATGTGTTATTTTGAAAAAACGCGTAAGGAGTATAGTATTGTGCACTTTTCCCAATTTTGCAGTGAATATTTGTCATGATTAAGCAGTTTTGTTAGATAAAATTTCTAGCATAAGTGTAATTCGGCTAGTAGATTGTTGGAAGAAGTGTTCAGTAGATAAAGAGAAAAGAAACATGTCTTTACTTCGTGAAGACAAAATGGCGGCGGAAAAAAAAAATAGAGGGTTGCTGTAGGAGAGTTAGTCGCCAAATTTTCGCCAAAAAAACGCCAAGTTACCATAATATAAAGAACAACCCATATTTCCTTTAGCCGAACTTCAATTCAACAACTACCATTTTATCTTTCCCTCCCATCTTCTCAGACACAGAGGCGAACCAACGAGCTCCAGCGAAAGATTTTTCAACGTCAACAGGGTTGCCATAGAACACGCAATCGCACCAAAAACCAGCGCAGAACACATATCGCCACATTTGGTGAAATTAGGGTTGTATATTAGAGTTGTACCATAATATTTTATATAATTTTATGCTGTTGATGATGTAATCAATGACGTTACCTTACTTAAAAAGTAATTGGTTTTACTAATATCTATAAATTTAATCTAATGTTTTAAACATTATTTATGGCTGTTAAATATTAAAATACAATTTATTTTTGCATTTGTTTTAAAAATGATTTTATTATGAATGATTATTTAAATAATTTTAATTCTATACATGATGTAATCAGCTCCCTGATTGGTTACTGAATATTTGTGCATTACCGCGCCATTTTAAAATTTTATTATTCATCTCTTCGAATTCGTCAGATTTCAAATGGAATGGATATATTCGTTTCGAAGATGAATGTTGGTATTGGTAATTACCAAGAATTATTGGTATTGGAATAAAAAAATTGCCCTTTGAGACCTTATTTTGGCCAACCTGTCTTTCCTAATCAAAGATTTATTTATAAATTGTTAATAGCGTCAGAGGAAATTTATTTTAAATTTTTGGAGGAAATGACTACTTCTTCAATGAAGTGCGAGATATGTGGATAACAGATGAAGATGGTTAAAAGAGACGATTCAATTATGATTTCGATTTTTTTTGTGGTACTTATCAATAAACAAGAAGTTAAATTACTCAAAAAATGTAAGTACATATTTTTTTATTTTAGAATTGTATACTGCAATTTTTGTTAAAAATTTAATACACTGTTTTCAAAAATTGCTGAGATAATTATTGTCACATATGTTTTAATGTTAATTATATTTCATATGACGTATTTTAAAGTATTTGAATTTAATAATATTCTAATTCCTTTAAAAGTTGGTAGGATGGTTTTTAATTCGATATTCAATTTCAGTAACATTTTAATCTAATTAAACGTTGGCACAATGTTTTTATAGCGGTGTTTTTGTTCTTTTTTTTTTGCTATATGAAAGTAATAGGATACTTTCTTTATGCCTTACTTTAGTATTTTATACTCATAGTAAATGTATTTATTTACACTTGCCTGCCATCTTAAAAAACAACATTTTCAACAAAAAATTAATCCTATTACTTTTAACGATATTTAATTTTTTTTTAATTTTGAATACTTTACTATGCGTAAAAACAGTGTTTTTCAAGATGACTGACGATTGCAAAAATCGCACCAACGTAAATCGCCAAAAGTCCGTGCAACCATCTACCAAAGTAGCACCTCGACACCTCACTCACAATGAACAACAGAAAAATTATTCTATATACTAAAATTTCAGGACAAAGTAATGACTAAATGGGTCAGACAGCGTCTCAGCTAGGGCATTTCATCGACAGGTCCAATATCAATGGCTCAAGCTAAAATATATCACTAACAAATGAACTTAAAAACCGTGTGCACATATTCAACAGGTTGGTTAACCAAATTTAAAAATAGCCGTGGTATGAGGCAATTAAGAATTTCAGGTGAAAATGCTTCAGCTGATACTAAAGCTGCTGAACTACTTGCAGATGAATTCATTAATAGTCAAAAGTTATCTCTTGAACAAATTTACAGTGCTGATGAAACTGGTCTTCTCTGGCAATATGCACTGCAAAATACTTTTGGCAACTCCTACAGAAAAAGCTCCACCTGATGTCAAAGATTCCAAACTGAGACTAACAATTTTAGCAAGCACAAATGCTGCAGGAATGTATAAGTGTAAACATTCTGTAATTGGGAAAAATATGTGACCTCGAGCATTTAAAAATATTAAGCTTTTCTTTTGTAAATTTTGTTACTCTTTAGATCATAAATACTTCATTATTTTATAAATCACGATTTCATATTTTTAATTCTATAATTTCTACTTGCCATTTTACTAGTTTGCTTACAATACTTTTCAAATACAAATAATAATTCTTGTGATGTAATATAATACATGAGTGTGCTGCAACCTCCTGGCCGATAATAATCAGCTTCATTGTTAATGCAGCACACCCAACAAATTCTTGTGTTGTATTTTGAAACAAAAAACTATGATGAGAAACATCAACCAAACGCTCTCAATAAAAACTTAAATGTGTTATGTGAGTTACTGATTAACACTTCTTGAAAAAAATTATTATTTTTACAAGGAATATTTTGATGATATTTATTTTGCAACAAGCAAGGCTTAAAATAATACATTGGAAAGAAAAGTTCGAATTCTCCGCTTCAGTTTTAATACAAGATAAATGCAATATCAAAAGAGCAACCGTCTGAAGACAAATGTGAGCTATTGTATTACACTGACAGCACTTAAATGAGAGGACTATAGCAACTGCAGTAACAGCTATAATCACTCAACCCCTTACATCTATCATACTCTTCATTTCACTCTAATACATTTATATGGTTATTTAAAGATTAGCGTTTACGTATGAAATTTTCACAAAGAACAGGAACACAATAACTTTTCTGACACACTTAAACCCTTGAGTACAACCAGCCATTCGGAGAAAAATAACGTATGTTAAACTTATATGGCACGTTTATCTTATAGTCAATATACTGCGAAAATTTATTATGAAATTTTATTCTTACCTGTGGAAATAATTACTACAATGTAAAAAATATACAGCGAATAAAAAAGGGATAAAATAATTTCAAATCCTGAATACAAACATTGAACGTACCGCGGTTACAGCTAGGAAAATCAGTGCTCTTAGTTTCGAATTTGCAACTGCTGCAATTAATAAATAGAAACTAAATGCCATTTGGCATGTAAACATCATGAAAGATGATGAAACATTAACGCGAAACGTTATTACTGAGAATTCTAACACATTATTTATGATAACCAAATAAAAATACCTCGTCAATGCCATCTTGTTCTGGAGAAAGATGTTTTAATCTTGGATCCCTCGTAGTCCACCGTTTCATTACAGGAAATCTGTAAAGTTGAAAGGAAAACTATTTACAAAGTTATTGTAAAATTTAACATGTATACACTACCTCTTCCTCAGACTGCATATAATGCTCTAATCTCTGCATCTGATCCTAATCAATTTTCATTGCATTAAAATCTGTTCTGAAAGAATGATGCGACTGGCTGATTGCAAAAGATCTGTTGCTGATCTACTAATTGCAGAAGCTCGTAATTGAATCACTAACATGCAAATATTTGAAAAGGGAGAAAAGCAACCGTTTCACTATTTTTTTTTAATTCTTTATTTAGGGAAATAGAAATGATTATTATGTACGTGATGCATGGCATTACAAACGTCTTTTATTAAAATTATTTACAAACAAAAATTTTTCTTATCTAATTTCAAATTTTTTTGTTGCACTGTTTTTCTTCCAGTCGTGAAAATAATAGTACAATTTTTTTCAAAATTTTCAATTCAGCTTAAACTATGTGTATTAGATATAGGTACTATTCCGTTAGAGCGGTGTAGTGGCCCAGTTATTGCATGAGAAATAATTATTTTTTATTTCATATATTTGTTCATGTGTTTAATTATTTTATAAAATTAACTTTAATATTTTGTTAATATTCATATTTATATTTCTTTTATGCTGAATAGCAACTAGTTCTGATTCATGATTGCTAGGTTTTGGTTTCAAAACGTTGCTCGTAGAATAGCTGGAAAATAAAATGCAATAAACTTAGCTATTTGTTTATAATTCATGCTGTTCCTAATCGTAAATTAATTTTAAGCATTAGTAGCCAAGGCTACATCGTGGTGACCCTGATTACTTTTCGAAATGTGAACAAATGACTCTTCTGAAACTGCTACGAAAGATACGATGCAATCACCAGAGCTACATAAGGTGAGTGTAAAAATACCTCCTTTTTGGACTGATAAACAGGAAATATGGTTTTTTTCAAGTTGAAGCTCAGTTCAAAATTAGTAATATCGTTTCAGAAGAAACGAAATTTAATTATTTAGTTTCACAGCTTGAACTTTAGTTCGTCGAAAATATTTGGGACATTGTAACGAATGATAGTGCCACGAAATATTCGGATGCTAAAATTAGGTTATTACATTTATTCAAAGAAAGTGAAAATGTACGGATTAAACGTTTGATTACTGGTATCGAACTTGGAGACATGAAACCAAGGCAACTTTTGCAGAAGTTGAGATCAGTTGCTACTACAGATGTGTCTGAAAATCTAATCAAAACTTTATGGCTGGAGAAACTAACTCAATAAAATATATATTATTAGTTAGTGATGAAGATGTATCCAAGTTAGCGTCTACGGCAGATAAAATTAGTGATATGAATAGGAAACCAGAAGTATTTAGTGCTAATGCTCCTTCCGTTCCAGCAAATGATTTGTTGCAAAGAATTACCTCTCTTAAACAAAAAATTGATCAAATAACCATTCGCTCAAGACGCAGGTACTCGGATTTACGTAATTCGATTACGTTCACGATCTCGAAGCCGATCCCGTAAACGATATGACACTACTGGCAAATTTTGTTTCTATCACTTTCGATTTGGAGCAAAATGTATTTCAGAGAAATGCCGGCTACCTTGTGCTTGGGTAAAAAACGATTCCAAAAATCAGGAAAACTCGAATCTGCAGTAGGTTCAGAGGCAAACGCTTCTGCAGAAAATATGAAAGATTGTCTCAAATTTCGTTTATTCGTTCGTGACCGAAGATCCAAATTTGCACTTTCTTATTGATAGCGGAGCTGACGTAAGCATAATTCCTGCTACTTCACAGAATAAATGTAAAACTGAATACAAACTGTATGCAGCTAATGCCACAGATATTTCCACTTATGGAATAAAAACGCTAACTCTTGATTTGGGATTACGTCGTGATTTTCAGTTTCCAAAAGGTATTTTAGGAGCTGACTTTCTTCACAAATATAAATTACTTATCGATATAAATAAGAAAAAATTAATTGATGGCGTAACACAGCTTTGTGTCCAGTGTGATGTCGCTTCTATTTCCACTGATTACTCAGTAACCACATTAAATAAATCCCTAAAAATTTTCGATTTACTGTCGAAATATCCCGAAATTTCTAAACCTAACGTTTCTCCTACACAAATTAAACATGGTGTTAGACATTTTATTACGACTGATGGTCAACCCGTTTATTCAAAGGCACGACAGCTCGATCCAAAACGCTTAGCTATAGTTAAAGAGGAATTTAAATTTATGCTTGACAATGGAATAATTCCTCCATCAAATTCCCAGTGGTTAAACCCCTTGCACCTTGTCACGAAAAAGGATGGCTCATATCGTCTTTGCGAAGACTACCGACGGTTGAATGCGCAGACGATACTTGATCGATACCCAATTCCTCGCATTGAAGATTTTCATCATATTTTAAGAGGTATAAATATTTTTTTTAAATTGATTTATTCAAAGCTTATTTTCAAATTCCCATTGCAGAAGAAGACAAGTGTAAAACGGCTATCATCACTCCTTTCGGTTTATACGAATTTAATGTAATGAGTTTCGATTTAAAAAATGCTCCTGCAACGTTCCAACGATTTATTCACGAAGTCTTTAGAGGATTAGAATTCGTTTTTACCTATTTAGACGATATACTCATTGCATCCAGTACCCATGAAGAACACGAAAATCACCTTTTATTAGTTTTCGAAAGATTACATACATTTGGGTTAAGAATTAATGTTTCCAAATCTGTATTTGCTGTTCCACAAATCGAGTTTCTAGGCTACCTAATTACACCTAAGGGTTCCCGTCCTTTGACAGAAAGAGTTCAAGCTATTACTACTACAAACGACCAGAAACAATTCATGAACTTAGAACTTTTCTTGGAATACTTAACTTTTATCGTCGTTATATAAAGGATGCAGCAAAGAATCAAGCATTGTTACATGCGTATCTTAAGGGAGCTAAAAAGAGGGACAAAGGTAAAATCGAATGGACTGAAGAAGCTGAAAAGCAGTTTGAAAAGTGCAAGAATGACTTGGTGAACACGGCACTGTTGTCTTTTCCCAATTCTGAACTGGCGTTATTTACAGATGCTTCAGATACGGCGACTGGCTCAGTGTTGCAACAATACGAAAACTCCTCGTGGAAGCCAATAGCATTTTTTTCTAAAAAATTAAATGATACTCAGCAAAAATATAGCAGATATGATAGAGAACTATTAAGCATATATCTTTCAGTTAGATACTTTAAGCATTATCTAGAAGGAAGAGTATTTACAATTTTATACAGATCACAAGCCCTTAATATTCGCCTTTCATCAAAAACTTGACAAAGCAGCACCTAGACAGGCTCGCCAATTTCAATACATCTCCCAGTTTTCGACTGATATCAAATATTGTAAAAGGTGAGAATAATATTGTGGCGGATATTATCTAGAGTTAATGAAATTTCATCGATAGATTATGATAAAATAGCTGATGAACAAACTCAAGATGAAGAACTGAAGAGTTTGCAAACCACTACTTCCTTGAATTTAAAGCAATGTTCTACCATCGGGGGCAAATATTTGTGGTGTATGATACATCAACTAAACATATTCGGCCCGTATATTCCTCAGGCTTTCAGAAAACACGTCTTTCAAAGAATTCATGGTTTATCACATCCAGGAATAAAATCGACCATGAAATTAATGACATCAAAATTCATTTGGCCTAACATAAAAAAGGATGTACAGTTGTGGACAAGAACCTGCATTCCTTGCCAAGAAGCTAAAATCAGTCGGCATACCAAAACAAAATTAGGTGAGTTTGAAGTACCACCAGGAAGATTTTCTGTCATCCATATCGATCTCATAGGACAACTTCCCCCATCTAAAGGGAATATTTATTGTCTTACTTGCATAGATAGATTTTCGAATCGGATGGAAGCAATTCCTTTAGAAAATATTTCCGCTGAGAACGTCGCAAGAGCCTTTTATAGCAACTGGATTGCACGTTTGGGAACGCCAAGTAAACTCATTAGTGTTCGTGGATCCCAATTTTAAAAGTGATACATTACGAGCTTTGTACAAAATCTGTGGCATCAATTTTCAACACACTACTGCCTACCACCTTTCGTGTAATGGCAAAGTTGAGCGCCTTCATCGAACATTAAAAACAGCATTGAAAGCCCACAACAACATATCTTGGACGGACACATTACCAACAGTACTTTTGGGTTTGCGTACTGCTATTCAAGAAGATACAAATCATTCTATTGCGCAAGTAGTTTATGGCCAGAGTCTCAGACTTCCTAGAGAGTTTTTCAGCAAACCAAGATCCAGACAGCATCGGAAACTTTTGCTAATAACCTCCAGAAACAGATGGAAGTTGTTAATTAATTCGTAAAAATTTATCTGAACGGATATTTGTACATAAAGATTTAAAAATTTGTTCTCATGTGTTTCAGCGAATAGATCGGGTAAAAAAACCTCTGGAACCTCCTTATGAAGGACCATTTCTTGTTACTGATCGCAAGGACAAATATTTTACTATTGGCATAAAAGGAAAACATGTTAATGTATCCCTGGATCGCTTGAAACCAGCATATATTTTAGCTGAGGAAAATTCCCAGTTGATACAACCTGACTACATTAACTTTCAGAGACCGGACTCAAATTCCGTTGTGAATCAAAAACATTCTCGCACAGGTAGAACTATACGTTTAACCTGTTGATACAAGGACTGACTAAATTATTCTGATCGTGGTTAACACTGCAATACTAGTTACTACCTATTTCTCCATCTTCGTAACGTCACTTAGTTACTGGTGGGGGAGTAGTGTAGTGGCCCAGTTATCCCTTTTACAGACGATGGTAAATATCTTACTAAGCAATTTGTTTTCTAGCAGCATACGAAAAATTATTTACCAGCGCCCGATATCAGGAATTTTCCTCTAAAGCAGAGCTTCACATTTTCTGTAATAGATGGCTGTAGAAGCCACGTAAACCGCAACATTTCTGCATTCAATCCAGTTTTGAAGCAAAATGGAGAGGGTAAGCAAGCACTCTTTTCTTATTTTATTGTGTAATGATATATAAA